CGCAAAGGCCTGGGCTCAAAGCTGTGGGGAGTGAAGCCAATCCGGAGCAAGTCTTACTAAGCAGCGGGGAGACTGGCGATCCCTCATGAGAACTGAAGAGGCTGGAGAAGGCAGAGAGTCTGGCATGAAGATGGACATTCTGGCATTGCCTAATTGTGGCATTGACTGAACGCAACCTGCACGTGGTTCACTTTTAAGCATTGCAGTAATTGATTCATTTTGTATTCCCTTTCACGTTTTTTTTTAATGTTGGTTTGGGTGTCCAGTGGTAACAAATCAGTTTGCCAATTGAATAAATTAAACACTAGTCTGCATATTCTACGCTCTCAATATTACTCGTGTTGTGCACTATGTTCCTCTCATCTAACTTACACTCATGTAGTCAAGCCTGTCATCTCCACGTCTCCCATACCATTCCTATTTCTCTCAAGTCGCATACTTTGACATGGATAGTGACATCTGCAGATTATGTTTGTTATTCAAACATATCAAAGAGGCAGTATACTAAGCATTTCATGCAGCTTCTTGCAATTCATTATGTTGTATATACATTGGCTGAAATTTCTTTATTTGCCCTTTTTTTCAATTTTCACCAAACAAATAAAGAATGTAAAAAAACAAAACAAAAAAAGCACGTGTTTTCCCATTTTCATAGGGCTTATTAAAAGTGCAATAATATTAAAATATATGTTCGCAACATAAGTAACGCAATCAGTAAAGTGCCCCATGATGTGCATAGACCAACTTATCAATAATGAGATTCATTGATGATTTTCATAATTGATAATTATCTGTTTTAATGATCAGTTGTAACAGCTTTAGTTTAGGCCCTGGGGAGATAGCACAGCTAAGCGGACAAGGGCACATGTATGAGTGTGGGGATGGATGCTTGTGATTGGTTGTAAGTGTGTATGGCAATGGTTATGTGTTTGGGAGTGGTTTTGGGATCATCTTACCTCAGTGCCTATTGGGAGATGGGCCAGCAAACAACTTCCCTCCCACCCTCCCTCTTTTATGTTTGTTGTTCATTTATGTCACAGCTAGCGGGGAGCGTGACCTTGACAATAGGTTTTAGGGGGCTATTACATGGAGTGTCAGGATATGGACAAGGTCGGATCTCAACCTCCCCTGATCTGTAGGATAAACATTTAAGTTACCGACTTGGACCTGCCCACTGAGCTAAAATCTGGCTGGTGGTAAGCATTAAAAGGAAAAGGGAATTTGGTTTGGACGAGGGGGGAGTCAAAAACCCAGTGGGAAAGTTGATGCATAAGCAGGTGGTCTCTTTCATTGGCAAGGATGTTTATGTAAGCTAAAGTCTGTAGGGCACTATGTGTTAATTTGTATGTTAAGTTATAGATTATTTATTTATTCATCTCTGGTTATACTTAAATGGAAAAATTAATAAATGTTGGATGAGTCCTACAGTCTTATGTTTAATAAATGCTGTGGCTTGTTTCATCCAGATTCAGTGTCTGTCGTTGTAATGGATCACCTGTACTCTGACCGAGTACCTTCCATTGACGTACGCTTCCTATCTTGCACCGAGGACCACAAGTACTGCACCGGACACCACAACCACCGCAGACTTCACAACCGCCATAGCTTAAATGGAGTCTCGCTGTCTTCCTTCCACCCTGGATCAGCTTCTGTCCTCCAGGACTGTGTGGGAAAGACCTCTCCTCCAGGAGAGCATATCAGTCATTATCGGGAGGGTATTTGGGGTAGGTACCGTTATTCTTATTTGCATCACATTCCCCGCTACATCCATACATGAGTGGTTTTCACTCCATTGAAAACAAAAAAAAATCTTACCTATTTTTTTTAGCACTGTTAACAGAAATATACAGTTTCAGAAGCAAATACACATTGTTTCTCTCGTAGAAATGTGTAGAAAAATAATACCCAATTGACACATTTGGAAATACCACTGTACTGGAGTTGCAATAGAGAGGGGGTACAATACTTCACATAGTGTATAGCCTAAGGATAGCTTTGAAAATGAATCCTCAACACCTTGTCTCCATATAACAGTCTATGGCAGAATTAACGGAGAGAGGCTCCAGGTGCAAGAATTTTTTTGGGGTACCGCTCTTGTGCATGATTGGCCAAAAGGTAGCTTCCCACCTGTCGTACAATTCTCACGATGCCATGTAAGCTGGGAATCTACCATTTGCCAATTCTTGCAGAGTTGTATTTGTGAGCAGTGTTTGCACATTTTAATGGAAGCATGTTTTTGTGTGTGTGTATGTATGGGTATATTTTTTATGTACTGTTGCCATTGGAATGCAGTGCCGTACTTGTGTCTAGTGTTTGTGATTGAATGCAGGAGTGTGTTTGAATGTAGTGTTGCCATTTAAATGCAGGTGTGCTTTTGTGTGTAGAGTTGGTGCTTGTATATAATTTTAGCGTTTGAATACAGGCATGTGTTTGTATTTGATTGCAGGGGTGTGTTTGGATGTAGTGTTAGATGTACATTTGTGTGTAGTATTGGTGTTTGAGTGAAGGGGTGTGTTTGTTTTATAGCAACATAAAAAAACCTCCAGAAATGACTACACGTTAAAAATAAACAATGCATAGGGCAATATTATATGTACACTAAATATATACTGTAAATTATTGCACACACTTATGGTTATAAAAACTTCTGCCACCTCCAGGATATTTGAGCACATAAGAACCAATAAGAAACAAACAAATAGTGCAGAGCTTCCAAATAAAACCACTTATTTCATTTCAGTTGCACTTAAATAAATAAATGTCCTCATAGTGTGAGGACATTCAGGGTCAGGTAGGCGACCAAATGACACCAAAATCCCTCTAGTGGATGTCTGGTAGAGTTAACCCAGAAAGGTAATTATTGCAGAGAGAAAATGTAAGTAAATCTAGGGTTAAGGATCCTGAACCTGTGTACCCAGACCACTTCAATGAGCTGAAGTGACCTGGGTGCCTATACTGTCCATTTAAGGAGAGCTTTGCTCTGTACTGGATTTAATTTAAGTTTTAATTTAATTTGCAGGGATTGGTATTACAAAAATGGGAGATGGACATAGTTAGCAGTACACTACAGAACATTTGAACATAAAGAAATATCTAATATATATATATATATATATATACCGTATTTATCGGCGTATAACACACACTTTTTCTCCCTGAAAATAGGGAGCAAATTATGGGTGCGTGTTATACGCCGGCCCTTTAAATGCTGCAGCCGCCTGAGCGCTCTGTCAAGAGCGGTCAGGCGGCTGCAGTTGGTACTCACCTCCCCTGTAGCGTGGCCGAGCCGCTCTGCCGTCCGCGGTGGCCGGCCGGAGTGATGGGAAGGTGCACGCTCAGTGTGCACCTTCCTGTCAGTCCGACCGGGTACAGGAAACAGAAACTCCTGTTCCGCGCGGAACAGGAGTTTCTGTTTCCTGTACCCAGTCGGACTGACCGGAAGGTGCACACTGAGCGTGCACCTTCCTATCACTCCGGCCGGCCACCGCGGACAGCAGAGCGGCTCGGCCACGCTACAGGGGAGGAGGTAAGAAGGGGGTAAATAGAGGGGGAGGGGGGTAAGAAGAGGGGAGGGGGGAGTAAGAAGGAGGGGAGTAAGAAAGGATATAGAGGGATATAGACAGTCGGTATGGGTCAGAGAAGGTGTAGGTCAGAGATGGTTGGAAAAAATATGTGTAGTGGATAATCAGAGAAGTTATGGATCAGAGATGAACAGAGAAGGAATGGGTCATAGATAATCAGAGAAGGTATGGATCAGAGATGGTCAAAGAAGGTATAGGTCATGGATAATCAGAGAGGGTATAGACCAGAGATGGTCAGAGAAGGTATGAGTCATGGATAATCAGAGAAGGTATGGGTCAGAGAAGGTATGGGTTCATGGATAAGCAGAGATGGTATGGATCAGAGATGGTCATAGAAGGTATGGGTCATAGATAAGCAGAGAAAGTATGGGTCAGAGATGGTCTCATGGCGTAGAATACAAAGGGTGAGTGATTTTATGGAGTAAAGATGGTCATTGATGGTATTGGTATTGGTCCCAGACTATTTGCTCACAACGCTCCAGATAACTCGGGTCTGGTTGGGTGACCAGTGATGAACGTGCCACTGTTCCTGACATAATTAGACAAAATCTGATTTTCATCATGTCTGTCTATGCAAGGGCTGGCTGATCATTGGCTCCTGAATACCAGTATTATGTACGCTTTGGATTGTGAGTTAATTTGGGCAGGGACATCTTCATCTACTGTTCCCGTATGTGACATGTTTTATTAGTGTTAAATATGTCTTGTTTTCAGCGCTTTGGAATATGTAATATTATATAATAAGGATTGTAATCGTATATTCTCTATTTGGACAATGCTAGATCAGCTCACAGGATATTTGCAGAGTCTGTTATCTATTAATTTATTACCATTCAAATTTCTTGTGTCCTGCTCACGAGACTTGGACGGTGTTTGTCATTTTGTTGTTGTAGTCGGATATATTCACCAAACTAGAACTGCAAGTAAGAAGAGGGGGAGGGGGAAGTAAGAAAGGGGGGTAAGAAGAGGGGGAGGGGGGAGTAAGAAGGGGGTAAGAAGTTCTTTATTTGAAATTTAAGTTTTTTTTTCCTGAAATTTCCTTCTTAAAATGAGGTGCGTGTTATACGCCGGTGCGTGTTATACGCCGATAAACACGGTATATATATATAGTTATAATAACCCTTTAAATAACTGAGCTATTAGCAGTTCTTCCATTCTCAATGACCTCTGATAATCCAAAATTAGTTCTCCCTAGCATTATTGATAATTTAGCTACAGCTACTAAAATATAATGATGTTTTACTTCAGTGTTACTGATAGAATAAACTGCTTTGAAATGTACAATTTCACTGAGGAAGCTCAACAGCAACATTTTGTCAATTAGGGAAACGAAGAACCCTTTAAATGAGTAAAGAACATGCACAGTGTAAAGAATTGGACCTTTTTAATACAGATGTAAGAATTTTAATTACAATTCCCCTTTTTACTCAATCATTATTTCAACAGTCCCATTTTCCTTTTACACAGGTAGCCATTATTTATAAGCACAATTCAGATGTGCTTCTAAACTCAGCTGTGAGTCTTTGATCCCAGTTCCCAGTGCTTGTAATCTGTCGCACCATAACGGGCACTCGTTGTTATGTAAAGCTGCAGAGACGATGGCCACAGGTTCTTAACAGGAGAGATGAAATGTTCTATAAAATAGAGAGAGAGAAGAGATCAAAACATAAAGCTTCCCACAGCGGACTCAGGCTTAAACTTTCTGCTATCTTTGGGAATTAATTAAACAAAAAGGGAATACAGATGCAGGGAGGGAGAGAAGTACAAATTGTAAGCTAAAACAAAGAAGAATAAGGAATAAAATGACAGAGCAAGGATGACACAGTGCAAAAAAGAGGAAGAGAAGAAAGAAAGAAAGAAAGAGAAAGAAAGAAAGAAAGAAAGAAAGAAAGAGAAAGAAGGAAAGAATGAAAGAAAGAAAGAAAGAAAGAAAGAATGAAAGAAAGAAAGAAAGAGAAAGAAAGAAAGAAAGAAAGAAAGAGAGAAAGAATCATTAATATCACCTCCAGGAAAGAGAGAAAAGAAGAGAATTATCAAATGTGAGTAAGAATAATTAACATATCAAGAAAAATAGAAGAGAGACACAAGCAATTAATATGAATAACTGGAAAAAGAGAGAGATATCATAAGAGTAATGAGCAATAATTAACTGACGAAGAGAGTGAAAAGGGAGAAGGAGAAAATACTGTTAATTTGCAGAAATATTTGTAAGGAGAGAATGATAGAAAGCTTATCATCAACATTGTATCAGGGACAGGACAAGAGAGGCTTAGGAGATCAAAGGTAATTATAGAAATTGCATACAGGAGTAAAAGAGAGAATAAGAGAGAATGGCAATCATTAGCAGATCTAGCTCTAATAATTAGAGAGAACAAAGGTGATACACTGGAAGGAGAGACAGAGACATGATAGGAGGGAGAGCTAAAAGGAGAACATAGGTGTATAGCAAGGACAATGCTAAGGTCAAAAAATACCTGGAGGTTGAGCCCATAGATAATTTGACAACCCCCTTTCTAAAACCCCACCAGTGGCCTCTCCACAAACGCCAGTTGTAACTTAAAGCATATACACACAAACAAAACAAACACAAACAGACAGATAAATAGACACACAGACACAGAATGGAACAAACAAGCGCAGACAGAGACAGGAAGAGACAGGTACACTCAGGTACACACAGAAAAAAAATAAGAGTAAGCGCTAATTAACAGATGGGCAGCAACCCTATAAGGGACATCCCTCCAAACCTTTTGGAAACAAAGATAGTGAGAAAAATAGAGGTAAGGGCTGCGCCAATTTCTATAACAAAATATAATGGGCAGTGAAAATCACAACATCAAATAAGAATAAATCACAACATATAAAATAAGTAAAAAATCCAAATATCAGTGAAAAAAAGTCCAATAAAAAGGATCAAATATAGAATAAGGTGCTTAGACAGGAGTAATATCCTCAGTGTCTTTTTCCAGATGAATCCACTAATAAGAAAGACAAAAACCAGATAAAAAGAACCAATAGTGTAATATGAACGGTTCAATATGTATATAGATGAAATAAATGGGAATAAACTCACATTTAGTAGAGCTCTAGTGTGAAGGGTGTACAGCGGTATAATCCCCCCTATGGGATATGTTGTGGGTTTCTTCCGTCTGGGATATGGTCCTCAATCAGGAAAGAGAGTACAAAGAGACAACTAATAGTGCTCACTGAACAAAAATAACAGTGTATATAATAACTATACTATAGTACTCACAAGCAAAGAGCAGGCTAACTGCTCCTTGGTAACAGCGCTGGTGGTATGATCCCCACCTTGGATTTCTTGGAGTGCAGGATACTAAAAAATGCCAGGTAAAAATCAAGTGTATAAAAAAGATAGTTGGCACCAGGGAAGTGACCAAAAAATATTTATTACAATACACAATTAAAAATCCACAAACGACCGGCACTTCCCCCAACAACACCTGCCCTAACTACATCACTACAGGTCTGGGACAGAACCACCGCACGATACCCCCTCATAAACTCCCCCTCACCACTTACCCCAATCCTTAGAAATAAACAATTCCCCCCAGGCATGACGCCACGTGACTACGCACATTATGAAGACAACGGACTAATCAAACTCAGAGATTTCTATAACAACCAACAACTAACCCCATTCCCAGAACTCCCATGTACCACGCCATTGAACACCTTCGACCACTTTAGATATCTACAATTACGCAGCTTCCTGACAGAACCTCAGAATAGGAAAACAGCAACCGCAAAACTCACTCGATTCGAAACAAACTGCCTACAAGCCCCCACACATAAAGGACAAATCTCCCTGATATACTCCGTACTAAACTCCAACTCCCCAGCGGACACACTCACATACACAAAAGCATGGGAAAGAGACATAGGCCCACCGGATGACCCAACAGACTGGGCAAGCATATGGGAAGCAACCGCCTCACTAACCATATGAACCACAAAGAACAGGCGTACAAAACCATGCTTAGATGGTACCTAACGCCTCTGAAACTCAAACAGATGGGCATAGCCCAAACAGACACGTGCTGGAAAAAATGCGGACAACAAGGTACATACATACACATGTGGTGGCACTGCCCTTGCAGCTCGCAACTCTGGACTGAGGTTGCTAACCTCACCTCCAGAATATTGCACGAAGACATACCCACAGACCCTTGGACGTGGCTACTCTCCAAACCCCTACCCAGCCTAACAAGAGCACAAAACAAACTGGTAGCGAAATTAGCCCTCGCTACTAGACGCACCATAGCAGAGCAATGGGGTAACCACAACACACCCACACTGGCGAAGATGATCCAAAAAACCAATGAAACCATGGAAATGGACAAACTCTCAGCCATTCTACATGACACGACAAAACACTTCCACAAAATCTGGGACCTTTGGGTTATGAGACACATTGTGGGAGCGTAAGACGGGGTCGGGGACGTCCGGCCGCTCTGTAACTTCCCTCCATCCCCCCCACTCTCCCCCCTCTCCCCTGTAGGCGCGATGCCTTATCCCCATACACAAGCTACCCATAATATACCCACGATAGACTATACACACAATAACACCGCGAACCCAAAACCATAAGACACGACAACCACCCCTGACCACTGGAACAAGCCGCAGCTAACATCGCAAACGCAACTCAGACGCACCCAAGACGATGCAGCTGACCACAGAGACCAAACGAAACACACACAAGCAAACAACAAAACGGTCCTGACGTCTAACGGAGAACACACACCCAACACTCAGACTATAGTACAAAGAAAAGCTTGTGCCACTCTTTCTTGTGTGACACTCTAGCAGCAGGCAACCTTACTGCAGGCCTATAGCATGTAAAAACCACCAAATCAGAAACCAAACGAGAAACTACACTGCTCAAACGCTTACAAAACTGCACCAAACCCTGAAGGCTGACATAACCTCAAAACCAGAACTACCGCCCGAACAGCGACCTTCTCTGGGAGGGTGTAAACTCAATTGTATATACTATGAGTGCGGCAGCATCTACTAGGTTGAGTCCCCTACAAGCGGCTCCACTATTTAATAACCTCTACTACACATTGTATCACTATAGTGGTTATGGTCAAACACAATTAATGAGCTACACCTTAACTAGCTGCAAGATGAGACTACTTCTCCACTACCCAACACACCGTCAAAATATATATGTTTAGCCCGAACAGGCACCTTATTATACTGCTTTTACCATACACTGTGCCATTACTCTATGTGCCATGTTACAGTATTACCATATGATCGATAAGCCAGCTTGTAATTGCTGTTGTGGCATTGCAAGCATGTTTGATATACTATGCATAACAAAAATAAAGAATTACAAAAAAAAAATCCACAAACATGTTTCGCCTCAGGGCTTTATCAAAATGGAATAACACATAATACCTGGCAGTATGAGTTTAAATAGGGATACAAATGATTAAAATTGGCTCCAAAACTGAGAACAGCCAATCATAGTACACAAAGTAAAATACAACTTAAAATAGGCTAAAACATATATAGGTAGTAAACAGAGTAATTGTAGTACTTGGGTATCTAATTTCAAGTAAAAAGGAGGTGTGATTTATTGTGATCATGTGACTATTTTCCCCCCTCTCTCTTTATTAGCAAATGATAACAAATAAAATATATGAGGATTACATATATTAATGGTTACAAATATATGTGAGGGCTATAATTAATAAGGGAATATAACAAGGTAAAATAAAAATAGAAAAAACAATAAAAATAGCAGATGAAATAGATAAAACAATTAAAACATTAAATAAATAAAACAATAACAATAGTAGATGATAGAGATACACATGCATACATCTCATGAACATATTATAGAAAGTTATGTAAATCAAAATCTTCATTAAGGCCATGGGGTATAAGGGTCTGTAGCTTGTATACCCATTCCATTTCTGTTTTACCAAGAATTTTTTTATATCCCCACCTCTCCAAGATATAGTACATTTCTTGATACCTATACACTTTAACAGTTCTGGTCTTTATTGTGTTTAATAAAATGTTTGGATACTGAATGATTCAAGTATCCATTTTTAATATTTCTGCAGTGTTCACTTAATCTAATTTTTAAGCACCTTGTGGTCATTCCAACATACTGGAAGCCACAAGGGCATTCAAGCAGATATATTACATTCGTTGTATTGCAATTAATGAAATCTTTTTATCTTATAAACCCTTTTTGTCCTATTAGAAGTGAATTGGGTTACTTTGGAAGGTACTGTGTGGTCTTATTTAAAATGCCCATAGAAATCCATTGCATTAATGCTTTCCTATGGGGAAGGTCTAACATGCATGCGTTAGGAACAGAGGGACACTGTAGTACTAGGAATACAGTTTTGTATTCCTAACACTATAGTGTTTCTTTAATATACGCTCTGTGAGTATTCCAGATTATATAAAATAACATTTTTTGGTAAATCTAAAAGTACACTGAATGCAGAAAGGTTGGGAAATGTATTGGAAAATAGCAAATTTCTTTGGTAATACACGCATAGTACTACTGAATTAATTGCAAACTCTCATGGAGCTGTTGTGCCCACTCAATATGTCCATTAGGCACTCATTGCCTGCTTCTGGATCATTATATACTTGCTTGTAGCCATTCCCTCACATTTGAATAGGAGAGCACTGGTTGGATGACAATCAGAGTGCTGTGCTACAGGAAGTGGAAAACAAGAAAGAAATAGGATCCATGTCATGTTTAGTTATAGTTGCTCTCTTCCACATTTTTACCAGTGCATTAATTACCACACTCGTTGAGAAATCTGGTGTCACTTCTAGACCTGAGTATACCTTTAAGCACTGAAGTAGATATCAATCTCCATGGAACCTCTTATGTGGGAAAAAGGAACTTTCATAGAATTGTATAATAACATATTAGCATTTTTCGTGATCTTAGTGTTCATCCAGCAATTAGCAATATCTTCATATAGATATGGATAGGTACAATAAATATTATCAGAGCATGTATTATGCCTAAGGTTTATTTTTCGTACATTACCTCGTAGAGTACCAAAAATTATTTTGAACCAATTTCATAGTTTATTTGTGTCTCTTGTATGGCGGAATAAAAAAAAAAAAAACAAGAGTCACACGTCAAATTATGTTTCTAAAATTAGCGAGGGAGGTTTGTCCTTCCCTAACATCTTCCGGATACATGGCATTGTGATGTTTTCCCATTGTTTTGAATGGGGCAAGGAAAATTCAAAATCGAAATCTTGAAATATTCATGAAAAAGAAATCTGCCAAAACACTGACTATTATTAATCATTTAATAACATACCAGATCTTTAAATCAATTGAACCTATAAAATACATTTTCAACATCTACTATCTAAACAAGCAACATTAGAAGTATTGAAATTTTTTATACAGTACATAAAAAAAAACCTTTACCATTTTCTTACCCAGTTTGGTTTTATGGTTAGATCCATTTTACTGATCTACTAAGGAGAGAGACCCCGACTTACTGGTAATAAATTATTTAAGTCAGTCTCCAGATCACTGGGGCGAGGGGAATATAATAGAGTTATGATGTTCTCAGATAAAACAAAGACAGGCTTAGCAACATACAGACATGGATTTTGTATTGCTATATGTTAGTCTCTTGGGCTGTATTATTAACACAATACAAATAATCACTGTAACTAATATTATGAGTATTACAGATACATTAAAAGGAAAGAATGTTTTGCTCTCATGACTCATGTTTAAAATATGATCTGTCTACTTTGTGTTTACTGAAATTAAATATTTAACTTTCTTCCTCATAAGAATTTATTATTAAAATGTACTAGTTTCCCTTTTGTGCTCAGAAACTATTTATGTTTTGAGAGTAGATTCTCAAGCTTTTTGCTTTTATGGAATGTTCTGCATTGTAGTCCGCTTCCAAACCAGCGATTTTTCAATGACCCTTCAATTTGTGTCCTAGGTAAATGAATGCATACCTCATTTTTTTACTAGTAGAAGAGCACATATCTCTTTTTTAACCCAATTATGTTCTGCACTAAGATCCTTCCTATTGTCAATAGCAGTCAGTGAACGAGTATAATTGTCTAGATACAAGAACAGCTCTGGAGTATCCTGCAATATTAAAATGAGTTTATTTGTGATTTATTTATTTTATTGTTCGCCATGAGTTCTTTACTTTCTGGAACATGCTGTTAAACCTATTACGGAAATTATATGATCACTCTATGCAAAAGCTAACAAAAAATGTGTAAAAACAAAAATGGTCCGTGAGCATGAATTCATTATAGGGCCTGTCTGGACAGGCTTAAGGGGCCTCTTTTGGAAATACACCTGTCAATTCTGACTGTTTTAGCCTCCGGGCTCTGCACAAGAGAAGTTATGACCAGTTTGTCATCCATCCAGGTCAATAACTAATCACCATTAATATTTTAACTGTAGACTTTCAATAATGGAACATTCCATTCCAAAAAGGGAGGGGTTGTTTTGACTTACACAAGCAAAATGGCATTCTTTTTTTTAGAGCAGGCTGTGAGAAAATGCTGTTAAATGTCTCATGTTGATTCTTATCTTGAATACGTGCAAATACCCTTTTGTTTCCTTGCAAAAGCTAAACTTTGAATCCCTTTAAAAGAATTACAGACTTTTGTAGGATAAATAGTATAGAGCAGCTGCTCTACAAACTGAGACCAGAAGCTTTGTAGACCCTCTGGCCCTATCATTATTGGGAGAAATAGACTGGGAATCCCTGTTCCTTTATCCTTAGACATTGGGTTATGGGACACCACCATTTATTTGTCCCTTTACATAACAGAAAGGAACAAAATATAGATAATTGTTTGACAAGAAGCTACAACCATGTGACTATAAGTTTGGCTTAGAAACAGAGATACCACCCATCAAAGCAGACTGGTTGATTGATGTTGCTGCTTCAAAAAATTCAAGTTGCCACTGCCCATCTTGGTACCAAGTCAACCCCGACTACACATATTTTATTTAAAACAGGGTCAAACATCTTCTTAATTTATAATGAAATTCCTGGAAAAGGAAAAATAATAGAAAATAAACAATAATATGACAGTACTGATTTAACTAAAGCATCATATTTTTTAAACTCTCCTCTCATCTGACACGTTGCTAAAAATCCCTATTATATAATAGTAAAGCTATGTGAAAAATGTTGGTTCTATCTAAATGCTAATTGATATTTTAACATCTAATTGTACTGTGTGTGTCAATTGTATGTGTGACACTGTATATATTTTTGTACTGTATATGTCCCCAATTATATGTGTAAAACTGTATTTAGAGTGGCACTATAGATGTCACCTATTATATAAACAGTGTATTTATATTTTTACTGTAGATGTTTCATATTTATTTGTGTAACAGTTGTACTGTATGTGTCCCTGATACGATGTGTAGCAATATATTAGTGTTTGCTCTCCAAGACATTCTCAGGAAAGAAATCTCAATCCTTGCTAGTAAAATATTTTATAAATAAATAAATGTCAAAACAATACTTAATTATAGTTAAGGCGGAGTTCCCTTAATTAGTAGGAAAGAAATGGTCTATAAAGACACTAAATAAGGTTTAAACAAAAAAAAAAAAAAAGGTCACTGCCACCTTAATATAAATTCTTTAAAATTAGAAAACAAAAGTGTTTATATTTTTTTATATGATAATTTCTTTAAATGCCTCTTTTTTATTACTAATATGTTGTTTTAACCGGATAACAAGAACAATAGTATGTGTTAGGAACTCTGATGACCTCCCTACCAGTAATTAAAGTACTGTATTCCAGAGAAAACATCTTTACTCTTATCTTTAATTAGCTTCAATTTACCATTTGTTTTTTAACCAGTCACATTTTAAGAATCATTTCCAACTATCCGGAGCTGACATAGTTCATGGCTAAGTACGCATTTTGACATGCCTCATCGAAAAACATTGCTGACTTTTGTACACTCTGTTCCAATGTAAAAAAAAGATCAAATTGAATTTGTAATAATAACGCTAAGAAAAATGATAAAACATTTGGTGAATAATGTATTTTTCTTATTACTGCTGTTTTAAGAATTACTACAACATATTCTTTTTTTGTATTTTAAAGATTTTTTTAAATTTTATTTACATTTTAAAATACACATATCAGTTTGGTAACTATAAAGAGATAGGACCAGGAGCTAGCTCAATATAGAATAAATCAGTATTATATTTCCCTATGGAGTTATAGAGAAGCGACTACTTGGAGACTACCACTTCTTAGCTGGGCTTCCTGCCCACAATCCCTGTTGATCAGTTTGTACAGGCAGTACATTGCCCTGCTTTTCTGGCATTTTTGGATTGTCTGATGTAAAGCCTAGTTTGATATTTGAAGAGAGGTGTATTACACCAGCTTAAATTAAATGTAGACTTGTGGATTCAGATTCAAATGAATTGCAATTAATTTTGGGTGATCCTAATTGTGTATCTCTGAATAGCCATATGGATTTATCATAAAACAACCGATATGGACAATGGATGAACAAATGAACAGTTTAATTTGTTTTCTGATTTGTGATTCTGTCCATTTCACCAAATAATGAGATGACAGATATGAAAAAAGACAGTTAGGGTATAGTTACTAAATGTTGATTTTATTCACATCAAGTGAGAAGTGAACAAAAGAAGGAAAAATGAGAAGCAGTAAAAAATATATATCTATTTTTATACATTATATTTTTAATAAACATAGATTTTTTTTTCTCTGCCCGTCATATAGTTTTTCCCTTTATTGATTATTTCTTCTTATCTGATATGTGAATCAAATGGTGGGAAAATGCACCTATCAGTGTACAGCTAAATATTTATATCATGTATACATTTGGCAGTTCACTGCATTTCACATCCTTTCAGTTCTTCCAAATCAGTTTTCCCAAAATGATTGCATGGGTGGAATTTGTCTGATCCTCTATTGGAGAGACTGAATTAGAGAGACTGTATGCTGAAACTATTTTTGGAAAAGTGGGCAATATTTGCACTTTTTGAGCAAGTGCATACGAGAGCAATGACTATTTTTCTGTTCTAGATTATTATGTATGATTGCTGCTGTCACCCTGCTGCCTACTGGTTAAAATGAGGACTGTAAAGCAGGAGCAGGTCCCCTTTCTGCACTGGTCCTAAAAAGACTGTCTTTTAAAGATCTGTGTCACAGTTGGGAGAGTAATTATCCGCACCCCAAGTAAAACTGCTTTTCGATTGGGTTGGGAAAGTCATCTTCTCTAATAAGTGCTGTCCTCACACTGACAAATTCCAACTCTTAGAGATAACCAATCATTCTTTGTCTTAAGTCAATATTGGGCTATCCTATACACTTTTTGGGCTGAGCCTACCAACCTTCAGTGGAGTATGGACTATACTTCATAAACTCCTTCTTGCTATGGCAATATGACAACAGGGCTTTCTTGGAGAAAAGAACATGTAAGATACCTGATAAGACAGTCAGACATCGAATATTCCTTGTGGCCTTTATTTCACAGCTCTGAGTGAGCAGCTGCAGCAAAAGCATGAAAGAAGACAAGGCTGCAGCATTATGATATTGCAGTTGGATTGAATTCATTTGAGAGTAGTATGTGCGGTGGTGATAGAAAAGAGTAGATTCCTAGATCCCCCAGAGAATCTTCATTTGCTGTTGTGACAAAGCTGTATATAATATGCTGCATAGCAATGTGTTTGCTAACCTTCAGCACTCAAAGGGTTTTAAACAGATGTGATATTGATGCTCCTAATGTCAGCTTATACTGTACCTTCACAATTGCCCATTTGCAACATTCTGTATTGATCCGTTTTAATTATGTCCTGCAGTCAGGTTCTCCAAGGAATAATCTGCAAAATTAAATTATGCACCAGCACTATCCTACTACACACTTCACGGCAGAGGAAAAGTTTAAACCATATTTTTTTCTAATCACCTGAATTGCAGCTTTAAACATCTGACACAAGTACAATACCCAGACAAATGAAAAGAAAATGTATCAATACCACTAAAAGAACCGCCTAATTGGGGCTCCTAGCAATCACTTAGTTAGCCTGCAGTTAAATAAATAGCTTTATCACAGCTTTTGTTCACTCATTTTATTTTGTAATGAATGATTAGAAAATATAAACACCTAAACACATAAACTGTTCAGTTCTTTTCCAACAAAGCACGCAGAGCTCAATGATAAAATGAAAAGGAGTCACAAAGTAGTTGTGAAATTGTAGTGGTGCAAGTGACATGACATGAGTTGCACATATGACTGGAGCTGCAGTTGATATTGAATAGTGCATGGCATCTTGGGTGGTTAATTAATCAAAGCTCAATAGGTGCTGAGGAGTTATGTAAGCAAACAGGGAATTACATATTATTGTGCATTGTGTTTGACCATGATGGGTTGGACAACCTGGTCCTACAACTTTGCAAATCTATTTTTCAAGCTGAATAAAGAGTATACTAATGTCCATAGGTGTAAAGTTAAACTGCTTCAGGAAGACACCATGTGACAAATATTATGATTTTCTTTTCTGTACTACTACCAATGGTTTGCATGTACAATTTATATAAAATAATGCAAAGATTGATTTTTTTAAGAGACAAGCCAAGGTCCACATGATGTACACAAGCAACGTATACCCTTAATGGAAGCAAATTAGGGACAACAACACACGAAAAGGACTTGGGAATTGTTATAGACAACAAACTATGCAACAATGTGCAATGTCAATCAGCAGTGGCTAAGGCCAGTAAGGTATTGTCATGCATGAAAAAGGGCATTCATTCTCGGGATGAGAATATCATTTTGCCTCTTTATAAATCACTGGTAACACCACATATTGAATATGCTATGCAATTTTGGACACCTGTTCTAAAGAAGGATATTATGGCACTAGAAAAAGTGCAGAGGTGAGCTACAAAATTAATAAAAGGAATGGAGCATATCAGCTATGAAGAAAGGTTAACAAATTTTAACCTATTTAGTTTAGAAAAAGTTGCCTGAAAGGGGATATGATAACATTATACAAATATATTCGGGGCCAATACAAACCATTGTGTGTAAATCTATTCACAAATCGGACTTTACATAGGACACGTGGTCATGCGTTTAGACTGGAAGAAAGAAGATTTCGTCTAAGGCAAAGGAAAGGTTTTTTTTACTGTATGAACAATAAGGACGTGGAATTCTCTGCTTGAAGAAGTGGTTTTATCAAAGTCCATACAGATGTTCAAACAGCTACTAGATGCATTCTTGCAAAAACAGAATATTCAAGGATATAATCTTTCAATGTAGGGTAATAACTGCTTGATCCAAGGATAAATCTGACTGCCATTCTGGCTTCAAGAAGGAATTTCTTGAAGCCAGCTTGTTGCAAAATTGGAATTGCTTCAAACTGCCTTCTTTTGGATCAACAGCAAAAAACAAATGTGAGGAAGGCTGAACTTGAAAGAGACGCAAGTCTCTTTCCAGCTATGTAACTATGTAACTATATGTTTGATGTAATAATGTTTTATGTTCAAAGCGTTTCATACTAAATGCTTAACATGAATCACTGTCATAATCAGTGTGTGGACCAGTCAGACAAAAGTATACACCATTGTTTTAATTACAACATTATATATATATATATATATATATATATATATATATTACACAAGATCCAGCGCACTCACCTATCCACCAAACAGCAACTATATATATATATATATATATATATATGAAACAAGAGGGGGTTGGCTGCACTCACCTGAACATGCATAAATGGGGGTGCTGCTGGGGGCCAAATAATACAATACAGGTCCTACACTAACAGCCTAATGTCTGCTCTTATGAGATTAACCCACTTACTTGGGGGGAAAAAATCCATCTGGGGCTCTCTGCAGTACACAGGTGCCTCATCCCAGGGCCCTGTTTAGCCTTGTACTGCAGAGAGCCCAAGATGGAATTTTTTTTCCCAAGTAAGTGGGTTAATCTCATAAGAGCAGGCATTAGGCTGTTAGTGTAGGACCTGCCAAAGATGGGGTACATTGACGTTGTGGCAGGCTTATGCAATATATGATCATATAATATAACTAAACCCCCATTATTTTTGCCTAGATTAGGTGTTTTAAAAAAAACAAATAAAATCTTTCAACATTGAAGTTGCTGTTTAGTGGATAGGTGAGTGCGCTGGATCTTGTGTATTACATATATATATATGGTATAATCTTATACTGTAACTAAACCCCCATTATTTTTTGCCTAGGTGAGGTGTTTTTAAATAAAACTATTACAATCTGTGAGACTTGAAATCATTGTTTAGTGAATGAGTGAGTGCGCTGGATTGTGTATTTTGTGTATTTTGTATATATCGGCCCCAGCAGCACCCTATAACATATGCATGTTCAGGTGAGTGCAACCCTAGCCATTTTTGGTTTTATTTATTTTTATATATAAATATATATATTGTTGTCATAAAAACAATATATATATATATATACACAATTTAAAGTATGCTAAATGGTAGCAGAGTGCTAGCTGGTTTGTTAAACACGGTTACACATTATTAAAATACTGATATTTTTACCTACGTAGAAGATTCCTATTTTCTCTCATAACACTTAAGTGAGGAAAAAAACTTGTGGCAGGATTTATGATAATTTCCTTATTGTTTTGAGGACAGGAGCAAGACATATTCATGCTACTGGCTACTGCTCTGACAGCCATTAACAGCAACTGAGTCTGTCATCGTGGCATAAAAAAGGCACATTCAAATGAATGGCTACAGACTCTTGCCTTCAATATTCACAGTGTAATGAGTGTGATGACCCTTTCAGCATGTTCTGTGGGAATCAAGGGTCAGAAGTCAAATGTGTTTTTCCACCCATTTTCCCATATGTATTCTGATGAATTACTAAGGTTTTTTTTGTTCATTTTTTTTGCCATTTCAGTAGTATTGTCTATGCAAAACAATTTTCTTTCTTGGGACAATATTATTTTTAATATTATATATAATGTTTTTACCTTTTATGTTACTGATTGTGTGACAAATAGAAACCTGTGTATATTTTTGCTTAGAGAAGGAAAATATCTAACTGAACACTAACTATGTATTTGTTGCTTTTTCTGTCATTTCTATCATGCTATACAATGGTTTTAATTCAGTGAATCATATGCAATATTTCCTAGACTAGGAAATAAAGTTTGTGTTTACAGCTCAGCTGGTGAGGTAGTGCAGGGGAGCAGCCATTGGCTAGATGCTGGGATATGAAGAACTCATGTCTTTGGTCTAGGAGCTTTGTTAAATATGTACAACCTGCAACCAATACTGGACATAGCAATACCAGAGTCAGTGCCGTACACACAACCCATGGGGCCCCGGTGCGAAAACTGATCCGTGGGACCCCCCCCCCGTGCGCTTACTCTGCCTGGTCTGGGGCCGCAGCACATGGTGGCAGGCACCTGGTCACAGGGCTGCAATCCCTGCGACCGTGGTATGTACGCCAGTGCATGCAGATACACATACACGTAAAGGACCACTACAGACACCCAGATCACATCAGCTCAATGAAGTGGTCTGGGTGCCAGGTCCCTCTAGTTTTAACCCTGCAGCTGAAAACATAGCAGTTTCAGAGCAACTGCTATGTTTCACTGAGGGTTAATCCAGCCTCTAGTGCCTGTCTCATTGACAGCCGCTAGAGGAGCTTCCGCGATTCTCACTGTGAAAGTCACAGTGAGAAGACGCTGAATGTCCAATAGAAAGCATTGAGTAATGCTTTCCTATGGGCGGTTTGAACGCGCGCAGCTCTTGCCACGCATGCGCATTCGGAGCTGAGAGGCGGATCGGGGCGGAGAGATCCCCAGCGCCAAAGGAGTCCGGCGCTGGAGAAAGGTAAGTGCTTAAGACACAAACACTCTCACGAACAGACGCATACACACTAGCTAACAGACACACAATCACTGAGACAGACACACCCTAACTTACTTACAAAACACACACTCACTAACAGATGCACACAAACTAACACACTCAGTAACAGACACACAGTAACACACTCACTGACACACTCTAACACTAACACACAGACACTAACACACACACTCTAACACTAACTCACACACACACACACACACTAACACACACACTAACACTCTAACACACACACTCTAACACACACACACACACATAAACTAACACACACACTAACACACACACACTAACACACACACACACTCTCTAACACTAACACACACTCTAACACACACTCACATTTAAAAAAAAAAATTAATCCCCCCAGCTGAGGGGATTCCTTGGGGTCCAGTGGTGTTGCTGTGATGTCACCCGGCGGCTGGCTGGCAGGCGCGAGGGAGCACTCTCCCTGGCTGAGTGCTTCCTGTTCAGCTCCCTTGCGTGCCACGTACTGATGCCGGAGTTGGAAGATGATGTAATCTTCCGGCTCCGGTATTAGTGTGGTGTGCGAGGGAGCTGAACAGGAAGCACTCAGGGGAGAGTGCTCCCTCGTGCCCACCAGCCAGTCCGCCGGGTGATGCCAGGGCCAGCCTCGGGGGGGCCCTGAGGTGGCCAGCTCCTGGTGGTCGCAGGGCGGCCAGGCCCCCTGGTGGGCCGGGCCCGGTTGCAGCCGGGACCCCTGCGACCCCGGTATGTACGCCACTGACCAGGGTATTATATAGAAAAGACAGGGAAGGCAAGAAAGGGGGAAGGGTGGCCTTGTATGTGAAAGATAGCGTATAATCTAGCCTAAAAGTTAGTGAGGTGAACATAGAGTCCGTTTGGGTTACGTTAGAATTTGGTAATCACACAGTAACTCGTGTAGGTGTGATTTATAGGCACCCAGGACAAATAGAAGAGTTAGATAATATACTAGTTGAGGAAATAGCTAAAATGACAACGAAGGGGGAAGTTATCATCATAGGTGACTTTAATCTTCCTGATGTGAATTGGAAAACAAAAATAGCTGCTTGTGCCAGGAGCACACATATTCTAAACTCCCTACTGGGATTGTCTCTAAAACAAGTCGTTGAGGAGCCAACTCGTAAAGTGCCCATACTAGATTTAGTGTTAACAAATGGAGATTTGGTATCAGATATTACTGTAGGTGAAAGTTTAGGATTCTGTGATCATCAGTCAGTGTGATTTAATATAAGAACAGTGACTGAGTCACACCACACAAAAACAAAAGTTTTAGACTTTAAAAAACCAGACTTTTCTAAAATTAGAAAATGTGTAAAGGAGTCATTATCAGACTGGAGCAATTTAAATAGTGTCCAAGAGAAATGGGATTATTTAAAATTTGCACTGCTGAAAGCAACAGAAAATTGCATTAGGCTTGTCAGTAAAAGCAAAAAATTCAAGAAACCACTGTGGTATTCCGCAGATGTGGCCAAAATAGTAAAAAAACAAAAAGTTAGCATTTAGTAATTATAAAAAACCCCAGAGTGAGGAAGACAGAATGATCTATAAGAGTAGACAGAAAGAGGCTAAGCAAGTTATAAGAGCTTCCAAATCACACACAGAGAAAATAGCACAGTCAGTAAAAAATGGGGGCAAAACATTTTTTAGATACATAAATGAGAAAAGGAAAGTAAAACAAGGATTAGTTAGATTAAAAACAAAAGAAGGAAGGTATG